GTATGGTCGCAAGACTGAAACTTAAAGGAATTGACGGAAGGGCACCACCAGGAGTGGAGCCTGCGGCTTAATTTGACTCAACACGGGAAAACTTACCAGGTCCAGGCATAGTAAGGATTGACAGATTGAGAGCTCTTTCTTGATTCTGTGGGTGGTGGTACATGGCCGTTCTTAGTTGGTGGAGTGATTTGTCTGGGTAATTCCGTTAGCGAACGAGACCTCCGCGTGCTAACTAGTTCCGTTTACCATTTTTGGTAGGCGTGTGGACTTCTTAGAGGGACTTTTGGGTAATCAAACCAAAGGAAGTTGGAGGCAACAACAGGTATGTGATGCCCTTAGATGTTCTGGACTGCACGCGCTCTACACTGATGCGTTCAACGAGTATACAACCTTGATCAATAGGTCTGGGTAATCTTTTGAATGCGCATCGTGATAGGGATAGACTGTTGCAATTTTCAATCTTGAACGAGGAATTCCTAGTAAACGTAAGTCATCAGCTTGCATTGATTACGTCCCTGCCCTTTGTACACACCGCCTGTAGCACCCACCGATTGAATGACTCGGTGAAAAATTGGGACTGTTAGTTTGTTTGCTTTATTGCGAGTGGATTGATGGGAACTTTTTAAACCTCGCCATTTAGAGGAAGGTGAAGTCGTAATAAGGTTTCCATAGGTGAACCTGCGGAACGATAATTACCACACCTAAAAACTTTCCACGTGAACCGTATCAACAACTTAAATTGGGGGTGATCTTGACAATAGCTGCTGGTTTTTACTGGCGGTAACTATTGAGTGAATCTCATCATGACGAACCGTTGGGCTTTTGTCTGGCGTAGTAGAATAAATTTTTAAACCCTTACTTAATTACTGATTGTACTGTGGGGACGAAAATCTCTGCTTATATTTTAGATAACAACTTTCAGCAGTGGATGTTTAGGCTCGCACATCGATGAAGAACGCTGCGAATTGCGATACGTAATGCGAATTGCTAAATACAGTGAGTCATCGAAATTTTGAACGCATATTGCACTTCCGGGGCTAGTCCTCAGAAGTATGCCTCTGTCAGTGTCCACACAACAAACTTGGTTTTCTTTTTTCGTGTATATGGTGGAGGATATGCCAGATATGGAGTGTCTTGCGGCTGGTTTTCGAATCGGCTGCGAGTCCTTTTAAACAAATAGAGCTGTATTTCTCGTGCTCGAAAAGCGTAACGATACTAGTTTGTAGGCTGTCCGCGTGGCCAGTCGGCGATCTGTTTGCTGACTGTGACTATATAAGGAAGTATTTGATTTTCGGTATGATTGGCTTCGGCTGAACTGACGTTTATTGAATATTATTCGGTTGTGGTAGACGGATGGGTGAACCGTAGTAGCGTGTGTGACTTGGCTTTTTTACAGGTTATTGCTGCGAAGTAAGGCGTCAACTTCGGTTGTCCAAGGGTCGACCTTTTTTGGGAATAGTGTTGTAAAGCTTCGGCTGCACTTCAACTCAAACGGACCTGATATTAGGCAAGATTACCCGCTGAACTTTAGCGTATTAATTAGCGGAGGAAAAGAAACTTACCATGTATCCCCTAGTAACGGCGAGTGAAGCGGGATGAGCTCAAGCTTAAAATCTCCGTCACATGTATGTGCGGCGAATTGTAGTCTATAGAAGCGTGGTCAGTGTGGACACTTGAGATAAGTTCCCTGAGAAAGAACAGCATGGAGGGTGAAACTCCAGTTCATACTTGAGTAGTTTATGCGTACGACCCGTTTTCTTTGAGTCGCGTTGTTTGAGAATGCAGCGCAAAGTAGGTGGTAAATTCCATCTAAAGCTAAATATTGGTGCGAGACCGATTGCGACTAAGTACCGTGAGGGAAAGATGATAAGAATTTTGAAAAGAGAGTTAAAGAGTACCTGAAACTGCTGAAAGGGAACTGGATCGTTTCTAGTGTCTATAATCTATGACATTTTTTATTGGGGAGTGTGTGCGTGTATGTACTATGGCATTGGCTTTTTTGGTTGCGCTTGGTGTGCGTGCTGTATGTGCTTACTGGTGCCCTGTGTTGCGGTGGGACGTCAAGGTCGGTTTGTATACTGCGGGAAATGGCTATTGAGGAGGTAGGGCTTACGCTTGCGTTTGTCTATAATATATTGTTAGCTGTGTCGTGGTTGAAACTGAGGTGTCTGCAACGTGCTTATGATTGGGACTGCGTCTCCGTGTGCGCCGTGTGCGGATAGCTTGCTATGTGTGTGTGGTAGTGTGTGGATAGATGCGGGCTTTAACTATTTGCCGTTCGGGACGTTGGAAAAATAGAGCGATCTGACCCGTCTTGAAATACGGACCAAGGAGTCTAACAAGTGTGCAAGTGACAGGGTGAGGAAACCCAAGCGCAAAATGAAAGTAAAAGATAGTAAAAACTGTCTGAGGTAGGAAATGCTACGGATTTCGGTCTGTGGCGTGGCACTATCGACCGATTATGAAACTTCGTGGTAAAAGATTTGAGTTTGAGCGTATGTGTTGGTACCCTAAAGATGGTGAACTATGCCTGAGTAGGGTAAAGCCAGGGATATCTCTGGTGGAAGCTCGTAGCGATTCTGACGTGAAAATCGATCGTCGAACTTGGGTAAAGGGGCGAAAGACTAATCGAACCATCTAGTAGCTGGTTCCCTCCGAATTTTTCCTCAGGATAGCAGCAACTCATTTACGATAGTTTCATGAGGTAAAGCGAATGATTAGAGGATTCGGGGAAGAGACTTTCTCGACCTATTCTCAAACTTTAAATCTGAAAGACCTGCAGGTTTCTTAATTGAACTTGTGGATGTGAAAATCAATTTGCTAGTGGGCCATACGGGGTAAGCTCGTCTGGCGATGCGGGATGAACCGAACGCAAAGTTAAAGTGCCAAAATACTCGCTCACCTGGATACCATAATAGGTGATGGATCATATAGACCGCAGGACGGTGGCCATGGAAGTCGGAATCCGCTAAAGAGTGTGTAGCAACTCACCTGACGAATGAACTAGCCCTGAAAATGGATGGCGCTAAAGCGGGTTACTAATACTTTTCCTTTTGCGCGATAACATGAGTAGTGTAAGCGTTAATGAGTAGGAGGGCGTGTGGGTCTTTAAGAAGCTTGTGACGTGAGTCTGTGTGAAACGGCCTTCAGTGCAGATCTTGGTGGTAGTAGCAAATATTCAAATGTGAACTTTGAAGACTGAAGTGGAGAAAGGTTGCGTGTGATCAGTTTTTGGACAAGGGTGAGTCGATCCCAAGAAATAGAAAAATTTCGATTAAAAGTAGGGCAGTTTGAGGCGCGGGTTTACTCGTGTTTTACTTCAGCTTCGAATGTCGAAAGTGAATCAGGTTAATTTTCCTGAACCGAGACGTGGATTATATGTGGACACACTACCAAGCGGGAGACGCTAGCGTGAGTTCAGGAAGAGTTCTCTTTTCTTTTTAACAAGCATGTCCTACCTTGGAAACGGATTATCCGGCGATAAGGAGGAAGTCTTGGCAAAGCACTTTATTTTTTGGAGTGTCCTGCGCGCCCATGTCAGCCCTCGAAAATTCTGGCTAGAGATTTATTCGCACCCTCGTTCGTACTTATAACCGCATCGGGTCTCCAAGGTGAGCAGCCTCTAGTTGATAGAAGAATGTAGATAAGGGAAGTCGGCAAAAGAGATCCGTAACTTCGGGAAAAGGATTGGATCTGAAAGTTGGGCCAGGGGTCTTTGTGGAGTGCTTGTGGCGGCCTACGCTGGACTGTGTATGGTTCTTTCGGGGACTGATTGCGGTTTGGAGGTCGCGCTACTCTAGTTGTGCCATGAAGAAAGGTAGTTAACTTTCGGGTTGGCTGCTGTTTCCTTTGTGCGTTGAACAACCAGCTCAGAACCGGAGCGGAAAAGGGGAATCCGACTGTTTAATCAAAACAAAGCATCGTGATGGCCGGAGACGGTGTTGACACAATGTGATTTCTGCCCAGTGCTCCGAATGTCAAAGTGAAGAGATTTAACCAAGCGCGGGTAAACGGCGGGAGTAACTATGAATCTTTTAAGGTAGCCGAATGCCTCGTCATCTAACCAGTGACGCGCATGAATGGATGAATGAGATTCCAACTGTCCCTATCTACTGTCTAGCGAACCCACAGACAAGGGAACGAGATTAAAATAATCAGCAGGGAAAGAAGACCCTGTTAAGCTTGAATCTCGTCTGACGTTGTGAAATGACTTGGGAGGTGTAGAATAAGTGGGAGGCTCTGCCGCACGTGAAATACCACTACTCTCAATGTTGTTTTACTTATACCATGATGTAGCAACTGGCTTGCTTCGCGGTCGCTCAGTTCTATAAATAAGCCAGGTTTTTCCCTAGGCAAGCTACGTGGAAGACCGTCAGGCGGGGAGTTTGGCTGGGAAAATTGTTAATTCAATAACTTTTTAATTTCCAGAAATCTAAAGGTAAGGTTGTCAACATGATAAGTAAAAATCAAAAACGTAGAGCTAATAAATGACGCCGTCCGTGGGCGGTGTCTGGCTTGCCAGAGAGGCAAGGTTCAATTCCTTGTGCGGTGACTGGCCTTCGGGCCTTCCCGAGGCATGGCGTTGAGACTAGTCATAGTGAAGACTAGACTCCAAGTCATGGAATGGGAAAATAAAACTTGAAGCAGGGTAGACTTGAGCCGCTTGTTATCTTAATTCCTTGGACATTGATGCACGGCGATGACTTGTTCTGTAAATGGTTTGAATAAACGATCCTATGTGGGGATGGGCCGAAAGAGATCACTTGGTCTGGTGATGCATGGTTAGCATTGGCTTCTGCCGATGCACGTGGTCTCGACGTCGGGCTGCCAGTTCTTGGTACCAGACGATAAACCTTTAAATGGCTTGGACGTGGTCGAAACAGGCGAACACGGACGAAACTTGGTTACACATGAATCGTTAGCTTGGGGCTTGGCCTGGATCCGGATGATTACAAGTCTGGTGAAGAGTTGAAAACCGAGCCGAATGGGGCGTGTAAACATCACTCGGGCGAGACAGCGATGGTTGGGTTTGTTCCCCAACTGTTGTAGTCGGACTTAGAGGGCAAGTCGCCACTTGCTGCCGCACCTGAAGGGGTGTGGGACGCGCTGCTTCGGCGGCAGTATGAGCGGAAGTTACCATGAATGCTTGGTGGGGAGATGAAGCTTGGACACTTCGTCGAACCGCTAAGTGGACGTGGTACTACAGACCGCGGGTGAATAGTCGATGCTTTGACCAAGCAAGTGTTGACTTGAAGCTGTTGCGCCTGGGGAGTTGTGATTGGAGTAAACTCTTGCGCTTCGGCGATGAGAGCTGAAACTGTCGTGACGAACCGGGTGTGATACCGATTCGAAATGGAGCCGCCTTGACGTGGCGGATCGGCTTTAAAACCAAGAGCTCCATACCCCAACGAAGCAGAAAACCAAAATGGCTGTTTCAAAGCGTACTGCTTTCGCATCGCAATATCGCGAAAAATTAAAATTCAAAGCATATTGCTTTCGCACCGTATAAACGGGAACAGAAGAAAATCACTAAGGCGAAATCTTGAGAAAGAAAAAGAAAAAATCGAGGCAAAATCGATAATTCAAAAATCACTTGAATCCAATAGTGGTCAACCTTCATAAAGAGAAGTGGCAGTGCTGTTTATAGCAGAATGTGAAAGTCGAGGCGTAAGTGCCAACAACAATCGTAGCATGCCTTGCCAATTCTTTTGGACCGCTGTAGACTTCAATTTTCGTAAGTGTAAATCCACATAGGCGAAACAGTGATTCCGGACAAACCCCGCATTAGTAGAAGTCCCGGGGTTGTAGAGCCGCTTGTTGCGATGGAGCCATAGAAATCGAAAGACGCAGCAGCGAACAATATTGAAGAGAGTCAACAGCGCTCGCGAACCAAACAACTTGATAGTGGACGGGAGTAGGCGTAGTGTAGATGGAAACAGTATGTTCAACCAAGTAATATCGCCATCTAAAAAGTCCCGAAAGGGGATTAAGTAAAAGTCCCATTGAAAAGAAGCCACTGGGCAAAGCCAAAAAAGGTGTAAGGCATTTTCCATGTCTTCGCAACCATGAATGCATGTCGAAGGAGTAGTGACTTCCGTTCGCCACTGAAACTTGTATCGAAAACCCAATGAATTGTGTTAAAGCCGGTATTTAACATCCGCGGCAACAGGAAGAACGTGGCGATCCAAACCATATTTAAAATTCCACATGTTGTCCGTCGGCGTAAAGTCGGCAATATCAAGTTGGCGCAAACGCAAATTCGGGATCTTGGGGTCGGGGCAAGCCTCCAAAAGAAGATGCACGAAGTCTTTGTTGGACATATCGGTGACAAACTGATCACCAAAACGCCATCCATGGCGAGCCGATTCAACCATAGGCGGGAACACCGGGCCAAACAAAGGCGAATCATGAAAAGTGAGAAGATTAAGCCTTGGAATAATTTGCCGGATAAAGAGAGTCTTGGAAGCCGAACGCGAGAAATCATTGACGTCCAAAAGAGTGTCCAGAAATCCAGACGTAGCATACGAAGAAGAAATATCCACAAAGTCTTGTTGTCGAAAAAGATCGTGATCCATTAAAAGGGAATTGTTTTTGGATAGCTTGACCAATGGGCGTCGGGTCGAACCGAACAAAAGGTTAAAATTATTCCAGAAAGGCGCTGTTTGCGAAAAGGCCTTCCAGTCTGAAGACCCAAAAGACATGTGGAGATCTGTCCATAGTCGTAGAGTAGAAAACCAGAAGTCGGGAAGATAGTCCCATTTGCCTTTCACAACCGCGTAGAGAATGTCGAAACCAGCACCTTGAGATCCCATAGCCATCGAAAAGAGCGATAGTGCGGGAGTCATCCAACGTGGGGCCGCGCAATGGTTGCAAGTCGCGGAAATGGCGTCCCCCAACGACTTGAGATGCATGGCTTGAATAAACTCCTTGACAGGAGTAAGTCCAAGTCCACCTTGACTAATACACGTGTAGATCCAGTCTTTAGAAAACTTGCCAGGACTAGCCGAGTCACTGTCGGTATTCACTCCACTGATAAAGTTGCGTATAATGACATCCACATTTTTCAGCATTGTAGCAGTAAAACAAGTCACGCTTGCAGTATACCAGAGAAGCGGCAAGATAATACTCTGCAGAAGCACAATTTTACCACGAAGTGTGCGTGCCCTGTATTTCCAAATGGCACAACGCGCGCGAAGCTTCAATAGAATGTGGCAAAACCGTTCATCAGCCGTGATGGTGGAGCCTTGCAAAATTCCAAGTAATTTTACAGTGTCCGTCACGCCAAGAACCTTAAATGGAGAAGTAGCGCGCAAATTATCCAGTTTAGATCGAGAAACTCGATGCGAAAAAGGCATTACAGAAGTCTTGTCGACGTTAAGCCGAAGGCCTGCGGCGGTAGAGTAGTCGTTCACCAGACCAAGAAATCCATCAGCGTCTTCCATATCCTTCAAGAGTCCGGTGCAATCGTCGGCAAACGCAAGAAGTAAGTGAGGCTCACAAGAACCGTCGACTAAAATACCACGATCCGAAAATCGAGCCCGGAGAAAGTTCATCATGGGCTCAATGAAAAGGACGAACAAGCCAGGTGATAGGGGATCACCTTGGCGAACGCCGGCACCTAGCACGAAAGGATCACCCGGAGACCCATTCAGCATGATGCTGACCGATGTGTGGTGGTAAAATGTCTTGATCCAAGCCCGAAAAGTAGATCCAAAACCAAAGTGATGAAGCACTAAATCCAGAGCGGGCCACAAAACACTGTCGAAAGCCTTGGCAAAGTCCAACATCACAGCGCAAGCATCGTTATGATGAGTCTTGCAAAAATCTTGAAGATCTTGGAACCGAAGAAGTGAGTGTCGAATTGAGCGACCTTTGATAAATCCACTCTGATCAGCGTGAATGAGATCTGGTAGCACAAGCCTTAAACGATAAGATAGAATCTTGGGACCAAGCTTAGCATCGTGGTTAAGCAGCGTAAGTGGCCGGTAATTCGCAGGCAACGTGCGATCTCCCGACTTGTAAAGCAACGATAGATGGGCACGTCGCTGAAACTTGGTCATCTGGCCGTTGTGAAGCTGATTATCGTAAATAACTTCAAAGATGCGCGCCCAAGAGTGAACATCCACCTTGTAATACTCAATAGGAAGGCCATCAGGACCTGGAGCCTTTCCATTCTTGGACGTCGAAATCGCATAGTAGAAATCATTCGCCGTTAAAGGCGCATCCATCATGGAAACGTAAGTCGGCGAAAGCCGTGTCTTCGTATCTTGTAGGTACTCAACCAGGCGAAGAGGCTGGTACGTGGCGGATCGTCGATCATACAGATCGGGAGAAGGCGACTGAAAAAGTTGACCCCAAAATTGGCGATGGCCAGTAGCTATCGCGGTAGGGTCGTCGGTAATTAATCCATCGGCGCCCCGAAAACCAGTGATTGGAGACTGCATACAGTCTTGCTGAGGTGGTCGAAAAAAATGTGTAGTGGCGCGTTCGCTGGATTGTAAGTCGGCAGCAAATCGCTTGTACTGATTTCGAGCTTTGACATCCTCCAGATGGGTTTTAAGTAGCAACTTGGACTGCTCCACTATCTCAAAGGTAGCGTCCGTTGGTGTGGAGTTGTAAAGATCTTGAGCATCATTGACTGCTTCAACGAGTACAGAAGCGCGTCTGTCATCAATGTCACGAAGTTCCAGCCACCGTCGCTTCAAAAATATACAGTCCGCGCGCTTGTGTTCGTCCAATAAACAACCGGGATTGGCACCAGGAAACACCTTAATACGGCGGGCCAAGTTGTTCACAGATATCCGTAAATAGTCTTGAACTGAAGCATCATCCAAAAGCCAAGTAGGGCAGCGCCAAGGGGGCGGCCTGCCACGAGGTACAATTTTCGCTTGAAGGCGAAATTCCACAGGAATATGATCTCCAGTATGCCACTTTCGATCGCGTACGTGGCACACTTTATCCAAGTGGTCCTGTAATAGATGAACGGTAAGAAAGCAATAATCCAAGCGGTTCTTGCGTTTGGGGCTGGTGTAGTCTCGGCCGTCAGGATTCATATGGCGCCAAGAGTCCATTAAGCCGAGAGCGTCCAGCCAGGCAAGAAGGTCTTCACGTCCAGTACCAGGATGATGGAGGGCAGGTAATTTTTGGTCCAGGTAATTATCCAAGGTGACATTGAAATCACCGACAACAATGCGTTTGATCGAGCAATCCATATCAACGCCGGCAAACATGGTCGGCAGCAATCGAAAAAATTCACCGCGCTCGGAAGGTTCATCGGGAGCGTAAACCACGTTTGTAAAGACTGGATCATCGCCCAGTTTGGCTTGAAGAAGCAAATAGCGGTTCTTGAGTTGCGAGGTGCAGACGCTAGAAGTCAAATCTCGAACTTCTTGAAAAGGTGACGCAGAAGAGAGCACAAGCCCGACGCCGTGCCGCTCATTAAAAATAGGCGAAGTCGTATCGGACCAAAAGCATTGGGCACCAGAATCCGTCGAACAAATGAAGTGCTCATTCGTCTGGATAGAGTCTTGTTTGACGAACTTCGTTTCTTGAAAAGCAACAAGTTGGTATGTGGAAAGTAGGCGATCGTACATCGCCATTGGAGGATGATTTATCCGTTGATGTTGAGCGAAATGCCGTTAAAGGCCCAGGCATCTTTAGAGGTGAGCAGGAACAACTTGACTTGAGGCGGTCGCAACCGCAGGAAGAGGAGTGTCCTTCAAAACTTGAATAGAGAGGCGAACATCGTCCGGGGTGCGCGGGTCTGTCAGAAATACCGCCAAGACATCCGTTTGCGTGACACGTTGCAGGTTCAAATTACTCCACAATAAAAACGGCGTCAATCGCAGACGCGTGCATGAATAGTTCCCCGGCATAAGCATCGCAAGCTTGACCGGATCGAAATAAATTCCAGGCGCGAAAATCATCAAAAACAAATCACACTTGGACCAAGTTAAAGCAGCTCTGCGAGCCTCAACCGTGGGGAACACCGAGTCGAAAAGTTGAGCCATAGACGCTCCCGGAGCAACAAACTTGGATTGCAAGTAGGACAGTATGTCGTTCTGTCCATCAGGAAGACGAACGCCACGAGAAGCTCGAAAAACCGCGTGTGTACGGAAGGTCCGTTCAAGCCACTCCGTCGGAAGCTTGTACAAGTGGTGTAGATACGCAGGCTGCACTTAAATTGCAGCAAGAAGATCATCATGCGAGGAGTAATTCATTACGTCTTTCGACACAAATTCCGCGATCAGCGCATCCAGTTCCAGCGCCGAGAGCTGTTGTCGTTTCGGCCGCAGCTTACGGGCGCCCATCAAAGCGTGAGCTGCACAGCGATTAAATCAACTCAGAGTCTTCAGTAAATCCAGCCACACTGTTGAGGTGTTCGTCGTAGACCGTAATGTCAACGTCCGGAGGTTGACTGTCGTCAAATCCAGAATCCGTCATAACTTCGAACGTGTTGTACACATCGACCATCGTCGAGTACTGAAGCGCCGACAAGTCATCAGGAATCTCAGCAAGCGAGCACGGCATCAAGACAGTAGGTTCACACACAGGACCAACATCCTGCGTAATCCCGCGGCGAGAAGCTTGAATCAATTGCCAATTTGGCGCGTCCGCCTCGACGGAGTCGAGGATAAGTAGTGTCGTTGGCTACCGAGTTGATGCGGGCGAAGGGTGGGGCCGCTCTTTAGAAGCACGATGGGCAGCCGAAATGGAAGTCCCAGTAGGTGGACCACCGGTAGTCGTCGAACGAGACGCTACGTCATCAATTTCCATAGCCGCAGCATCGTAATCATCCAAAGAAATAACCCGCAAAGTAGCCACCCGGCGAAGCGAAGGAGGCTTGACACGGTTAAGCTTGCGAAGCCGATGTTGAACAAAGCATGGCTTGTCTTCAGGATCGAAGTAAATCTCGCGAAGGGGTTCACCATTCTCGAGAAAAAGACCGGCAGGGCACTGAACCGCGTGGAAGTACACCGTACGGTCGCGCGACTTTAGCTCACCCGCAACATAGGTTGGGGTGATAAGAACCGGACGAGAACCGCGGTTAACGAACCAATTGTAGATGGCCCGGTCCGGCACGTCACCAGGAAGTCGAGTCAGATCCACGAAGTACAGTTTGTCTTACTTCGAATACTTGCGGATGTGCACCGTCGCGCCGCAGACCTGCAACGCCAGACCACCCAGTGAGTGTAGAGCCGCGTCGGACGTGCAGAGAAAGGAGACTCCTTGGTACGGAATCCGGACAAAGTCGCGCAAAGAAGCCCGGTGTGCCTGCCAAGTGGCTGGCTGAGAGTCCCCCGCCAATGATTGGAGGATCTCGTCCGTGCTATGTTCAGTAGCCAGGCGCGCGGCAGGAATCCACATGCGCGTGCACTGCAAAGGTTCAACTGGCGTAGGCAGTTGCGAGCTCGCCTTGTAGCAGCGATCGTCGTCCGTCGAAGAGTTGTCACCAATCAGCGAGTAGCTGGCCGTAAACAAACTGTCGTCAGGGACGAAGCGACGGGGCGGCGTTGGACGACGTGGCCCTGAAACTGCCGGGCGACCCGAAGATCGCGGCGGCGGCGTAGGGCGCGGCGGTGGAGAACGCGGCGACGAAGATATGATCTTGAACGAACGAAGAACTAACGTAAACTTGACCGACACCTCTTCCGCGAAGAAGAGAGCCGTGCGAAGAGAAGCGTGACGAAGCAGACAGTCGAAAAGACTGGCTGGTTGCGACTTGAAGTTCTGTGTGTGCGTAGAAGGTGCGAAGGGGTCGAGAACGATGTGTGCTCAACAGGCTAAATTAGGAAGTGGGGGGAGTTTGGCTGGGGCGGCACATCTGTTAAATGATAACACAGGTGTCCTAAGGTGAGCTCAATGAGAACAGAAATCTCATGTAGAACAAGAGGGTAAAAGCTCAGTTGGTTTTGATTTATAGTGTGAATACAAACCGTGAAAGCGTGGCCTATCGATCCTATAGATCTTTAGAATTTTAAGCTAGAGGTGTCAGAAAAGTAACCACAAGGATAACTGGCTTGTGGCAGCCAAGCGTCAATAGCGACGTTGCTTTTTGATTCTTCGATGTCGGCTCTTCCTATCATTGCGAAGTCGAACTCGTAAATTGGTGGATTGTTCACCCACTAATAAGGAACATAAGCTGGGTTTAGAACGTCGTGAGACAGATTCGTTTTACCCTACTGATGACTTCGTTTTCTAATCAGTAATCCAACCCAGTACGAGAGGAACCGTTAGTGCACATAATTGGTAACTGCGGTTAGCTGAAAAGCTAGTGCCGTCAAGCTTCCATCTGTAGGATTATGGCTGAACGCCTCTGAGTCCGAATCCATGCTGGAATAGACGATAATCACCTTTCCCGATGTACCGCGAATAGCGATAGGTTTCTTTTGGGCACCCAACATCATACAATTGCAACGCACTTCGCTGCCTATCAAATAAAGGTAGTGGAGAGTAGGCTAATTTGTAATTTCAAATATTGGGAAAGATAAAATCTTTGTAGACGACTTAATTACAGAACTCGGTGTTGTAAGCATGAGAGTAGTCTTGTACTACGATCTACTGAGATTTAGCCCTTGTTCTATTGATTTGTTCAGAAATGAACATTTCTCCCCCCCACACATTATCATACTAATAAAATAAAAAACTATCCAATGATAGTGGAAACAAAAAAACAAACAAACAAAAAAAAACAAGAAACATTACAGTATGATAATGGTTACGATACGCATACAGTGCTATTGTAACACAAATAAAAACAAGACAAGAACGCATATAAGCAGTTAACCAAAAAAGGCTGTGCGACAAAGTTAATCAGTTTCGCTGCTGCAATCAAGAGCGAAATATCGCGAATCGATCAATCGTTTTAATAATAATATGGATTAAGCTAAGTGGTTAAAAAGACCGCTTAATGCAAGCTAAAGATAGTTGTGCTTGCTTGCAAATACACAAAGTGTCATTGCTATTGTTTTCTGTTACTAATTGGAAGACTTAAGTATGGAAATTTAAACAGGGCAAAGTGAATGTATTTTCCTATTGTTGTTTGCGAGCCAAAAAAGGATTGTGGACTTTAGTATGGAAGTGTAACAGCAATGTGCAATGTGCTGTGAGTATTATGCAATGCTTTTGCAATGTCCTGTTGTCTCGGTTGCGTTCGTTTCGAATTCTCCAAGTGCCGTTGCTATTGTTTTTCGAGCAAAATTGGAAGACTTTAGTAGGGAAATTAAAACAGGGTAAAGTGAAAGTATTTTCCTATTGTTGTTTGCGAGCCAAAAAAGGATTGTGGACTTTAGTATGGAAGTGTAACAGGAAAGTGCAATGTGCTATGAGTGTTATGAAATGCTTTTACAATGTCTTGCTGTTGTCTTGGCTGCGTTCGTTTCAAATTCGCCAAGTGCCGTTGCTATTGTTTATCGAGCCAAATTGGAAGACTTAAGCATGGAAATTTTTAACAAAATAAAATGAAAATCTGTTGCTTGAAATTACAAGATGCTCGTGCAATTGCGTTCCGAGCCAAAATCGGATACACTAGTAAGAGCTTTTGATGCCATTCAGATACACTTTGTTAACGTATTAAAAGCAACGCGCAAGACCTAAAGATGCGAGTCATTTGCTAATCGAATTGTAGTATTTGGTAGTATTTTTTGGCTAGATTTGATAACAGTGAGAAAAAGCGAGAGACACTGGGTGCAAAGTTTGTGTACAGAAGAGTTAAATAAAGGGGATTGGAAATGGCGATTAGTGGAGGTTGGCGGGGTGGATTGACGAGAATGCGGACTCATGGGCTTTGTTTGCTGTGGGAATTTGTCGCTGAGTTGGCGCGCTCGCAGTCGTTTTACCATGCAAAAGGCCTGGGACTCTTTGCGGTGCCATGTCAATCTATTGCAAAGCTTTACAATGCCAACGTAGGACATCTGAAAGGGGCAGCGCAAGTGAGGCACAAGCGAGTCCGAAGATATAGTAGAAAGTAAGCCGCCACGCAAGCTCTGCATCAACTTGTGCCGTTGCCGAGGAAACCCAATATGCAACGGTTGGGGAGAGAGAGCGAGAGGGAGGGAGCAAGAGAGAGAGAGAGGGTTCGTGGTGGTGGGTATTGACGAGGTTGTGCTTGTCTTTGTTGTTGTATGGTGGTGAATAGATGGGGGTTCTTCGATAATCAAGACGTACTTGGACGTGACGCAGAGCAAGGTGCATGCTGGAGAGGCGGGGCAAAGAAAAGGAGTTCAAGGACGTGACGGGCGTCATGGAAGGCGTGCAGTCGTACTTTGACCGAGACGTGAGCTCCTGCTGTACCGCATTGAGCGTCGACGGTACAAGGAGCTACGGCAGAAACAGACGGAGAGTGTGCCTCTTGTATCCACCCCTGGGTGGGGATCTTGTCCACTTTGAGTCGCACATCGCTTTGACTACACTTACGAAATCCCCTCAAGTCGTAGTCGTTGTCGTTGGCTGGCAAAAATGACTTGATTTGAAAACCATCACTAGCTGGCAGATCTGGGCACTCGCACCTCTCGTACTCTATGCTGCGTTCCAACTGCATCTGTTGCCCAAGCAGCAGCCCAAGTCGCAGCCCAAGTCGTAGCTCAAGTATTCTTTTTCCTGACGTGGCCACTCACGTACTTATCGCAACGTCAGAAGTACTGGACGCTGGTGGACTCGCATGTCCTGCTGGGAGCAGCGTCCACAGCTTTTCTGCCTCATGTTGACGCTCCAGCAGCTTGTGGGGTTGATGCAGTTGTCAATCTACGTGATGAGTACGCATGCCCTATGGAGCAGTACAAGATACACCACATCCAGCAGCTTCAACTGCCGACAGTTGACCACTTTTCGCCTTCACTTGAGGCATTAACAGCAGCTGTTGCATTCATTTAGATGTAGAAACAACGGGAGTCAGGATGTACGTTCACTGCAAAGAAGGCACGGGACGCAGTGTGGCGGTGACCTTGTGTTGGCTCGTGGCTGCTCGTGAAATGGATTCTTTAGCGGCACAAGAGTATCTGAGTGGGAAACGCCACGTGCGCAAAGTCGCTTTACTTGCATCCAGATGTCCGTGCGCTCTACCACAAGGTTTAGTCGTTCAATGAAGGGGACAAGCAGGATGAAGATACGTGTCGGCGAGTTGGAAGTTATCTCTATCAAAAAGATCCGTGGGTGAATTCTATGGACCGATCTGTTCGTACACTTATTTGCCTTATTGTTTCTGTGTACTGAAGGGATGGAGTGCTGCCAAGGAGAAGGAAAAAACTCTGGATTCTGTCCGATCAGAAACTTCGCGTCGAGAACGTCAATGCGTTGCTGGATATCCACATGGCGAACTTTGAACGGTACATGATCGAGAAAATGAAGGTGCAGTTAGATGGTAGTGGAGTTTGGCGGGGTGGATTGACGAGAATGCGGACTCATGGGCTTTGTTTGCTGTGGAAATTTGTCGCTGAGTTGGCGCGCTCGCATTCGTTTTACCATGCAAAAGGCCTGGGACTCTTTGCGGTGCCATGTCAATCTATTGCAAAGCTTTACACTGCCAACGTAGGACATCTGAAAGGGGCAGCGCAAGTGAGGCACAAGCGAGCCCGAAGATATAGTAGAAAGTAAGCCGCCACGCAAGCTCTGCATCAACTTGTGCCGTTGCCGAGGAAACCCAATATGCAACGGTTGGGGAGAGAGAGCGAGAGGGAGGGAGCAAGAGAGAGAGAGAGGGTTCGTGGTGGTGGGTATTGACGAGGTTGTGCTTGTCTTTGTTGTTGTATGGTGGTGAATAGATGGGGGTTCTTCGATAATCAAGACGTACTTGGACGTGAAGCAGAGCAAGGAGCATGCTGGAGAGGCGGGGCAAAGAAAAGGAGTTCAAGGACGTGACGGGCGTCATGGAAGGCGTGCAGTCGTACTTTGACCGAGACGTGAGCTCCTGCTGTACCGCATTGAGCGTCGACGGTACAAGGAGCTACGGCAGAAACAGACGGAGAGTGTGCCGCTTGTATCCACCCCTGGGTGGGGATCTTGTCCACTTTGAGTCGCACATCGCTTTGACTACACTTACGAAATCCCCTCAAGTCGTAGTCGTTGTCGTTGGCTGGCAAAAATGACTTGATTTGAAAACCATCACTAGCTGGCAGATCTGGGCACTCGCACCTCTCGTACTCTATGCTGCGTTCCAACTGCATCTGTTGCCCAAGCAGCAGCCCAAGTCGCAGCCCAAGTCGTAGCTCAAGTATTCTTTTTCCTGACGTGGCCACTCACGTACTTATCGCAACGTCAGAAGTACTGGACGCTGGTGGACTCGCATGTCCGGCTAGGAGCAGCGTCCACAGCTTTTCTGCTTCATGTTGACGCTCCAGCAGCTTGTGGGGTTGATGCAGTTGTCAATCTACGTGATGAGTACGCATGCCCTATGGAGCAGTACAAGAGACACCACATCCAGCAGCTTCAACTGCCGACAGTTGACCACTTTTCGCCTTCACTTGAGGCATTAACAGCAGCTGTTGCGTTCATTTAGATGTAGAAACAACGGGAGTCAGGATGTACGTTCACTGCAAAGAAGGCACGGGACGCAGTGTGGCGGTGACCTTGTGTTGGCTCGTGGCTGCTCGTGAAATGGATTCTTTAGCGGCACAAGAGTATCTGAGTGGGAAACGCCACGTGCGCAAAGTCGCTTTACTTGCATCCAGATGTCCGTGCGTTCTACCACAAGGTTTAGTCGTTCAATGAAGGGGACAAGCAGGATGAAGATACGTGTCGGCGAGTTGGAAGTTATCTCTATCAAAAAGATCCGTGGGTGAATTCTATGGACCGATCTGTTCGTACGCTTATTTGCCTTATTGTTTCTGTGTACTGAAGGGATGGAGTGCTGCCAAGGAGAAGGAAAAAAACTCTGGATTCTGTCCGATCAGAAACTTCGCGTCGAGAACGTCAATGCGTTGCTGGATATCCACATGGCGAACTTTGAACGGTACATGATCGAGAAAATGAAGGTGCAGTTAGATGGTAGTGGAGTTTGGCGTGGTGGATTGACGAGAATGCGGACTCATGGGCTTTGTTTGCTGTGGAAATTTGTCGCTGAGTTGGCGCGCTCGCATTCGTTTTACCATGCAAAAGGCCTGGGACTCTTTGCGGTGCCATGTCAATCTATTGCAAAGCTTTACACTGCCAACGTAGGACATCTGAAAGGGGCAGCGCAAGTGAGGCACAAGCGAGCCCGAAGATATAGTAGAAAGTAAGCCGCCACGCAAGCTCTGCATCAACTTGTGCCGTTGCCGAGGAAACCCAATATGCAACAGGTGGGGAGAGAGAGCGAGAGGGAGGGAGCAAGAGAGAGAGAGAGGGTTCGTGGTGGTGGGTATTGACGAGGTTGTGCTTGTCTTTGTTGTTGTATGGTGGTGAATAGATGGGGGTTCTTCGATAATCAAGACGTACTTGGACGTGACGCAGAGCAAGGTGCATGCTGGAGAGGCGGGGCAAAGAAAAGGAGTTCAAGGACGTGACGGGCGTCATGGAAGGCGTGCAGTCGTACTTTGACCGAGACGTGAGCTCCTGCTGTACCGCATTGAGCGTCGACGGTACAAGGAGCTACGGCAGAAACAGACGGAGAGTGTGCCGCTTGTATCCACCCCTGGGTGGGGATCTTGTCCACTTTGAGTCGCACATCGCTTTGACTACACTTACGAAATCCCCTCAAGTCGTAGTCGTTGTCGTTGGCTGGCAAAAATGACTTGATTTGAAAACCATCACTAGCTGGCAGATCTGGGCACTCGCAACTCTCGTACTCTATGCTGCGTTCCAACTGCATCTGTTGCCCAAGCAGCAGCCCAAGTCGCAGCCCAAGTCGTAGCTCAAGTATTCTTTTTCCTGACGTGGCCACTCACGTACTTATCGCAACGTCAGAAGTACTGGACGCTGGTGGACTCGCATGTCCTGCTGGGAGCAGCGTCCACAGCTTTTCTGCCTCATGTTGACGCTCCAGCAGCTTGTGGGGTTGATGCAGTTGTCAATCTACGTGATGAGTACGCATGCCCTATGGAGCAGTACAAGAGACACCACATCCAGCAGCTTCAACTGCCGACAGTTGACCACTTTTCGCCTTCACTTGAGGCATTAACAGCAGCTGTTGCGTTCATTTAGATGTAGAAACAACGGGAGTCAGGATGTACGTTCACTGCAAAGAAGGCACGGGACGCAGTGTGGCGGTGACCTTGTGTTGGCTCGTGGCTGCTCGTGAAATGGATTCTTTAGCGGCACAAGAGTATCTGAGTGGGAAACGCCACGTGCGCAAAGTCGCTTTACTTGCATCCAGATGTCCGTGCGTTCTACCACAAGGTTTAGTCGTTCAATGAAGGGGACAAGCAGGATGAAGATACGTGTCGGCGAGTTGGAAGTTATCTCTATCAAAAAGATCCGTGGGTGAATTCTATGGACCGATCTGTTCGTACGCTTATTTGCCTTATTGTTTCTGTGTACTGAAGGGATGGAGTGCTGCCAAGGAGAAGGAAAAAAACTCTGGATTCTGTCCGATCAGAAACTTCGCGTCGAGAACGTCAATGCGTTGCTGGATATCCACATGGCGAACTTTGAACGGTACATGATCGAGAAAATGAAGGTGCAGTTAGATGGTAGTGGAGTTTGGCGGGGTGGATTGACGAGAATGCGGACTCATGGGCTTTGTTTGCTGTGGAAATTTGTCGCTGAGTTGGCGCGCTCGCATTCGTTTTACCATGCAAAAGGCCTGGGACTCTTTGCGGTGCCATGTCAATCTATTGCAAAGCTTTACACTGCCAACGTAGGACATCTGAAAGGGGCAGCGCAAGTGAGGCACAAGCGAGCCCGAAGATATAGTAGAAAGTAAGCCGCCACGCAAGCTCTGCATCAACTTGTGCCGTTGCCGAGGAAACCCAATATGCAACAGGTGGGGAGAGAGAGCGAGAGGGAGGGAGCAAGAGAGAGAGAGAGGGTTCGTGGTGGTGGGTATTGACGAGGTTGTGCTTGTCTTTGTTGTTGTATGGTGGTGAATAGATGGGGGTTCTTCGATAATCAAGACGTACTTGGACGTGACGCAGAGCAAGGTGCATGCTGGAGAGGCGGGGCAAAGAAAAGGAGTTCAAGGACGTGACGGGCGTCATGGAAGGCGTGCAGTCGTACTTTGACCGAGACGTGAGCTCCTGCTGTACCGCATTGAGCGTCGACGGTACAAGGAGCTACGGCAGAAACAGACGGAGAGTGTGCCGCTTGTATCCACCCCTGGGTGGGGATCTTGTCCACTTTGAGTCGCACATCGCTTTGACTACACTTACGAAATCCCCTCAAGTCGTAGTCGTTGTCGTTGGCTGGCAAAAATGACTTGATTTGAAAACCATCACTAGCTGGCAGATCTGGGCACTCGCAACTCTCGTACTCTATGCTGCGTTCCAACTGCATCTGTTGCCCAAGCAGCAGCCCAAGTCGCAGCCCAAGTCGTAGCTCAAGTATTCTTTTTCCTGACGTGGCCACTCACGTACTTATCGCAACGTCAGAAGTACTGGACGCTGGTGGACTCGCATGTCCTGCTGGGAGCAGCGTCCACAGCTTTTCTGCCTCATGTTGACGCTCCAGCAGCTTGTGGGGTTGATGCAGTTGTCAATCTACGTGATGAGTACGCATGCCCTATGGAGCAGTACAAGAGACACCACATCCAGCAGCTTCAACTGCCGACAGTTGACCACTTTTCGCCTTCACTTGAGGCATTAACAGCAGCTGTTGCGTTCATTTAGATGTAGAAACAACGGGAGTCAGGATGTACGTTCACTGCAAAGAAGGCACGGGACGCAGTGTGGCGGTGACCTTGTGTTGGCTCGTGGCTGCTCGTGAAATGGATTCTTTAGCGGCACAAGAGTATCTGAGTGGGAAACGCCACGTGCGCAAAGTCGCTTTACTTGCATCCAGATGTCCGTGCGTTCTACCACAAGGTTTAGTCGTTCAATGAAGGGGACAAGCAGGATGAAGATACGTGTCGGCGAGTTGGAAGTTATCTCTATCAAAAAGATCCGTGGGTGAATTCTATGGACCGATCTGTTCGTACGCTTATTTGCCTTATTGTTTCTGTGTACTGAAGGGATGGAGTGCTGCCAAGGAGAAGGAAAAAAACTCTGGATTCTGTCCGATCAGAAACTTCGCGTCGAGAACGTCAATGCGTTGCTGGATATCCACATGGCGAACTTTGAACGGTACATGATCGAGAAAATGAAGGTGCAGTTAGATGGTAGTGGAGTTTGGCGGGGTGGATTGACGAGAATGCGGACTCATGGGCTTTGTTTGCTGTGGAAATTTGTCGCTGAGTTGGCGCGCTCGCATTCGTTTTACCATGCAAAAGGCCTGGGACTCTTTGCGGTGCCATGTCAATCTATTGCAAAGCTTTACACTGCCAACGTAGGACATCTGAAAGGGGCAGCGCAAGTGAGGCACAAGCGAGCCCGAAGATATAGTAGAAAGTAAGCCGCCACGCAAGCTCTGCATCAACTTGTGCCGTTGCCGAGGAAACCCAATATGCAACAGGTGGGGAGAGAGAGCGAGAGGGAGGGAGCAAGAGAGAGAGAGAGGGTTCGTGGTGGTGGGTATTGACGAGGTTGTGCTTGTCTTTGTTGTTGTATGGTGGTGAATAGATGGGGGTTCTTCGATAATCAAGACGTACTTGGACGTGACGCAGAGCAAGGTGCATGCTGGAGAGGCGGGGCAAAGAAAAGGAGTTCAAGGACGTGACGGGCGTCATGGAAGGCGTGCAGTCGTACTTTGACCGAGACGTGAGCTCCTGCTGTACCGCATTGAGCGTCGACGGTACAAGGAGCTACGGCAGAAACAGACGGAGAGTGTGCCGCTTGTATCCACCCCTGGGTGGGGATCTTGTCCACTTTGAGTCGCACATCGCTTTGACTACACTTACGAAATCCCCTCAAGTCGTAGTCGTTGTCGTTGGCTGGCAAAAATGACTTGATTTGAAAACCATCACTAGCTGGCAGATCTGGGCACTCGCAACTCTCGTACTCTATGCTGCGTTCCAACTGCATCTGTTGCCCAAGCAGCAGCCCAAGTCGCAGCCCAAGTCGTAGCTCAAGTATTCTTTTTTCCTGACGTGGCCACTCACGTACTTATCGCAACGTCAGAAGTACTGGACGCTGGTGGACTCGCATGTCCTGCTGGGAGCAGCGTCCACAGCTTTTCTGCCTCATGTTGACGCTCCAGCAGCTTGTGGGGTTGATGCAGTTGTCAATCTACGTGATGAGTACGCATGCCCTATGGAGCAGTACAAGATACACCACATCCAGCAGCTTCAACTGCCGACAGTTGACCACTTTTCGCCTTCACTTGAGGCATTAACAGCAGCTGTTGCGTTCATTTAGATGTAGAAACAACGGGAGTCAGGATGTACGTTCACTGCAAAGAAGGCACGGGACGCAGTGTGGCGGTGACCTTGTGTTGGCTCGTGGCTGCTCGTGAAATGGATTCTTTAGCGGCACAAGAGTATCTGAGTGGGAAACGCCACGTGCGCAAAGTCGCTTTACTTGCATCCAGATGTCCGTGCGTTCTACCACAAGGTTTAGTCGTTCAATGAAGGGGACAAGCAGGATGAAGATACGTGTCGGCGAGTTGGAAGTTATCTCTATCAAAAAGATCCGTGGGTGAATTCTATGGACCGATCTGTTCGTACGCTTATTTGCCTTATTGTTTCTGTGTACTGAAGGGATGGAGTGCTGCCAAGGAGAAGGAAAAAACTCTGGATTCTGTCCGATCAGAAACTTCGCGTCGAGAACGTCAATGCGTTGCTGGATATCCACATGGCGAACTTTGAACGGTACATGATCGAGAAAAATGAAGGTGCAGTTAGATGGTAGTGGAGTTTGGCGGGGTGGATTGACGAGAATGCGGACTCATGGGCTTTGTTTGCTGTGGAAATTTGTCGCTGAGTTGGCGCGCTCGCATTCGTTTTACCATGCAAAAGGCCTGGGACTCTTTGCGGTGCCATGTCAATCTATTGCAAAGCTTTACACTGCCAACGTAGGACATCTGAAAGGGGCAGCGCAAGTGAGGCACAAGCGAGCCCGAAGATATAGTAGAAAGTAAGCCGCCACGCAAGCTCTGCATCAACTTGTGCCGTTGCCGAGGAAACCCAATATGCAACAGGTGGGGAGAGAGAGCGAGAGGGAGGGAGCAAGAGAGAGAGAGAGGGTTCGTGGTGGTGGGTATTGACGAGGTTGTGCTTGTCTTTGTTGTTGTATGGTGGTGAATAGATGGGGGTTCTTCGATAATCAAGACGTACTTGGACGTGACGCAGAGCAAGGTGCATGCTGGAGAGGCGGGGGCAAAGAAAAGGAGTTCAAGGACGTGACGGGCGTCATGGAAGGCGTGCAGTCGTACTTTGACCGAGACGTGAGCTCCTGCTGTACCGCATTGAGCGTCGACGGTACAAGGAGCTACGGCAGAAACAGACGGAGAGTGTGCCGCTTGTATCCACCCCTGGGTGGGGATCTTGTCCACTTTGAGTCGCACATCGCTTTGACTACACTTACGAAATCCCCTCAAGTCGTAGTCGTTGTCGTTGGCTGGCAAAAATGACTTGATTTGAAAACCATCACTAGCTGGCAGATCTGGGCACTCGCAACCTCGTACTCTATGCTGCGTTCCAAC